GCCGCAGCATGTCACCGCACCCCCGGCAGTACTCTGGCCCAACGCGGGGCCGGTCTCCTAGCCCGTATCCGGGAAACTAAGGGCAGCAACCGGTGGAGGTGCGGTTGCTGTGCGACGAACTACCGAAGATCCTCCGACGACGACGACGCCGCGACGGACCTTTCCGAACACAACGCCAACCAGGCAAAGCCCTGACGGCGAAAGCTCACTTACCGAAGGTGGCCTGACGACGCAACATGGAAGCAGCGGAAGAAGCCGACGCAGCGGTGACCCGACGCCACGCCCTAACTGTAATGCGAGACGGCGAACTAGCGACCTCGACGTTCTTATCGACGGCCACAGTGTGACCGCTCTCGTCGATACTGGAGCCGACTATTCTGTCATCAGTGGGTCGTTCGCCGCGAAGTTAAAGAAAGTTAGGACACCTTGGAAAGGCCCTGAAATCCGCACAGCCGGAGGTCATCTCGTAACGCCTGCAGGAATCTGCACAGCGAGAGTCACCATTAACGGCCGTATTTATCCTACAGACTTCGTAGTCCTACAGCGTTGCTCGAGAGATGTCATCCTTGGCATGGACTTCTTATGCCTCCATGGTACTGTCATTCACAAGTCCGGCAAAAAACACTCCGACGCCGACTGTCTCTCTCGTGCGCCTGTCGACCAACCGCTACCCGACTACCCGGATGACGAGTACTTCTTGGGAACGATAACTACCGACGACTTCGCTGAACAACAGCGGGCCGACCCGGAACTTAAGGCCCTAATAGAATACCTCGAAGGCAAGACCGCCGAAGTCCCGAAGGTATTCAAGCGCGCACTTGCGTCGTTCTTTCTACGAAACGGTCTTCTACAAAAGAAAAACTTTTCACCGCTTCGAGCTAAGTACCTCTTTGTAATGCCTTCAGCTCTGCGACCAGAACTCCTGCAGGCCCTGCACGACGATCCGATGGCAGGGCACCTCGGTGTTTCTCGCACGCTCGCGAGGATACAAGAAAGGTACTACTGGCCACGTCTTACCACCGACGTCACTCGTTATGTGAGAACATGCCGGGACTGTCAGCGACGCAAGACACCGCCGACAAGGCCAGCGGGACTTCTGCAGCCAATTGATCCAGCTTGCCGACCTTTCCAGCAGATTGGTATGGACCTACTGGGGCCGTTCCCGACGTCGGCTTTCGGAAACAAGTGGATCGTGGTAGCTACCGACTACCTCACCCGCTACGCCGAGACAAAAGCCCTGCCAAAAGGCAGTGCATCCGAGGTAGCTAAGTTCTTCGTCGAAAATATCGTCCTACGTCATGACGCCCCAGAGGTCCTTATCACCGACGGAGGAACGGCATTCACTGCCGACTTAACTCAAGCGATCTTGGCATACAGCCAAACAAACCACCGCCGGACGACAGCGTACCACCCACAAACCAACGGCCTCACCGAGCAGCTTAACAAGACGATCGCCGACATGCTGTCAATGTACGTCGATGTCGAACACAAGACGTGGGACGCCATTCTTCCGTATGTGACCTTCGCATACAACACGGCGGTGCAGGAGACGACGCAGATATCTCCATACAAATTGGTCTACGGAAGGAGCCCGGCAACGACGCTCGATGCCATGTTACCCAACGTCACCGAAGAAGAAAACCTCCATGTGAGCGAGTACCTTCAACGCGCCGAAGAAGCCCGACAACTTGCGCGTCTCCGTATTAAGAATCAACAGACGACCGACAGCCACCGTTACAACCTTCGACGACGCTTCGTGGAATACCAGCCCAGTGAACGTGTTTGGGTGTGGACGCCCATACGCCGACGTGGACTAAGTGAAAAGCTTCTGCGATGGTACTTCGGACCGTACAGGGTGGTTCGACGTCTCGGCCCACTTGATTACGAGGTTGTCCCCGACGGCATCACGAACTCGCAACGACGCCGATCGCGACCTGAAGTCGTACATGTCGCGCGCCTCAAGCCGTTTCATGCGCGTTAACAAACTGAAACAGTGTTTTTTTTTGTATTATTATTGTATCGTAATTTATTCATTGTACTTTCTTGCATTATTATTGTACATTCATCTTTAGTTAAAGCATCGGGACGATGCCTTTTTTCAGAGGGGGGCAATGCGACGTTCCATTTCCCAAGTTTTTGTTATCGTCCCAAAACACCACACGATTCTCAGCGCAAACCGCGCCTGCAGTTTTCAAGAAGGTTCCGGACTGTAGTAGATCATTTCGATAAGATCACGCCCACTGTGCGAACGGTACAGATTGTTCTGGAACCTACGCCACCGCCAGCGATAACGCTAGAACGTTTGACGGCAAGAGTATAAATGCCGACGCGCTTCGCCGCTTGTCAGTTGTTGATCGAAGGCTGACGCTCCGTTCGCCGCTATCAGTTTGAGACTGCTATCTGTGCGAGACTGCTGCTGTAATTGGACTTGCCGTTTACCGGGCACAGGTTCGCCCAAATAAACAGTTAAATCCCAACACGAAGTCTCCTGTCTTCGGCCACGTCACGACCCCGCGACAATACTGTGCTTTTTGACAACACTTTTTTTAAGGTTTAGAGAATCCACACGGTCATTTTCAAGACAGAACAGCGCCAAAAGTCAGAAGCGGCTTCAATTTTATGATTTTCGAAAGAATAAAACATCTTCTATATATTATGTAGTGACGAGGCTTTAGAATGAAGTACAGAAACCACGATCATTTTCAAGAGGTATTTCCTGCAATCATTTTCTGCAAATAAAAGCCGAAACATAAGTGCAAAGGTCATTCGTGGATTGACGAATGTGCTTCTGAGCTTCCAGATAAAGGTGACGGGACAAAAATTTTAAGACGTGGCCACTGTGTGAACTTGGAGACAGAACCTACATAGATTTAAAGGTTAGGTCTATTCGAATCTGTCATATTAGATCATCCAGAAAGGCAGAGCGAAAAGAAGATGGAAAAAAATAACTTCTTACTCAGACATCCTTGGAAATTTGAAAATTCAACATTGAAGTACATACACACAAATACGCACTGTTAACTGACTATATATGCTACTATTTGAAAAAAACAACAACTTTAAAATGCTGTTTCTGCCATTAGTTGAAGAAAGGCACGCGATCACTTTTTTTAACTTGCATAACAGTCTAATTCAAATGCTCAGCCACGAGTATACCATGCCTACTTTTTAACGCTACCCTGGTATAACCTTGAATAGCTGTTTCAAGCGTTGTCTTCCAAATTACCTATTACGTGCAGAGAAGCAACTACAAATGTTCCACGATGAAATTTGCAGTAAATGAAAAAATAAGGATAGTAAAGTTCCCTGAAATTGGAAACTGTGCACATACTCCCGCAGCGAGAACAAATTTACGTACAAATAATCTTTGTAAACAATGCGGTGGTGAATTCTAAAGGCACAGCAACGTAATGTGATATAAAGTAAAAAATACTCACTCCACCACGTTACCCGTTCAGTGGCTATAATAGTGATCAGAAGGCACTCAGCAACACGAAAGTAAACAAAGCAACAAACCATCTGTTGTGCTTCCTGTCATCACTCACGTAGTTCGTTAGTCACCCCGGCGAAAATAGGGTCTCAAACAGCACACATGCAGACGTTACCGTAAATATAAACTGCAATTATTATACATACCCGAGACAAAATTAACTAAGCACGTAGAAACATTCAGCAGCAGACGAAACGTCATCAGCTGTTCGTTCAGCTGCCTGGTTGCAACTGTTGCCAGACTTGAAGCAGGGGTTTCGCTAACTCTACCGGCTCAAGACTTAGGGAAACCACGCTACTGCTCTAAATGCATGTATTTTGCTGTAAAGTCAATTTATAAAAAAAGAATAACAAAGAAAAGCGTTCATTTATTACACAGAGATAGGCATTTCTTAACCACAATTACGAATACTCTCGTTATCAGGCGCTTTTCCGGCCCATGAAGTTGACTCAAGTGAAGGGAGCATTTCCAGGCCTCCCTTGGCAAAGAAAGTGTGGAGGAGTGTTCTTGAAACGCAGCGGCTCCTTGAGTGAAGGAGCATGCTCCGCCTTGACTTCGTCAAGTCGAGGGGAGCCCTTGAGTGAAAGAGCGTTTGTGAATACGGGCCTACGTCTACTTAGGACAGGTAATAACTGCAGAGCCGAGCCAAGAGATTTAAGTAATTAGAAGAACAAGAATGGGGTGGGGCACATTTGGCAAGCACCCTCAAATCATGACTAGCAGATTGCCACTATCCCTCAAGAGGAAGGTATATAACAACTGCATCTTGCTGGTACTTACCTATGGAGCAGAAACACGGAGACTTACAAGGAAGGTTCAACTTACATTGAGGACGACGCAGCGAGCAATGGAAAGAAAAATGGTAGGTGTAACCTTAAGAGACAAGAAGAGAGCAGAGTGGATTAGGGAACAAACGGGGGTTAAGGATATCATAGCTGAAATCAAGAAGAAGAAATGGACATGGGCCGGGCATGTGGCGCGTAGACAGGATAACCGCTGGTCGTTAAGGGTAACTGACTGGATTCCCAGAGAAGGCAAGCGGGTTAGGGGGAGACAGAAGGTTAGGTGGGCAGATGAGATTAAGAAGTTTGCGGGTATAAAGTGGCAGCAGCAAGTACAGGACCGAGTTGACTGGCGGAACATGGGAGAGGCCTTTGTTCTGCAGTGGACGTAGTCAGACTGATGATGATGATGATGCTAAAACATGTGCGGTAAAATAGTATGTAGGAACACTGCTGATAAACCAAAGCTAACTAATTCAAATATGAACTGAATAATTTTTTTTCCTTTTATGCATCTGATCTCCTGCTGGCAGTTAAAACTGCATCAACTGCTCAGTTAATACATTCAAAATAAAGTACCTTACTTAAGCCAGTTTGATGATCTGACATTCATATACTTTGTGCTTTTTTTTATTCAGGCTAAGCATGCATTCTACATTGTTTCCCTTCAACAATGTTAACCAGGAATGCCTTATAATTTCACAGAGCCAAACAAAGAGAAGAATTACCAGACACTGTTGGCGTTGCATAGACACCACCAGGCCAGTCGGTGGCTACCGAGAACTGGTAGTGGTGGTACTTGTGGTTCCGGTACATGACCATAGATGAGCCCTTGGGAGTGTAACCGTACTGCACCAGAGTCGGGGAACATTAGATACGACAAAAGATCCTGACACGAGAAATCTAAGAATTAATAAATCATGTCACTACAGGTATATGAATAATGGTGAATTACCAGAAGTTGCACCCAACCCTGCACACGGAGGGCTTATGCCAGAGAGCTTTCAATCTTTGATTACCAAATCAGGAGTCACAATTCTCGAAGTTCTGCCCAATTTTTCTTTCTCCCTATTAGATATTTAACAAGGAGGTTGAAAAATTCAATTTAAAGTGGAGTCTCAGAAAACAGAAATATGGTAAATAGAACTACTGCTTAAACAAAACAGTTACCTCTGCCATGTTTGGTTTGGGGCTTGTATTTTGCAGCCTTTTTCATCTTTCAGTAAACAGAACTCCTGTTAAATGGACATATTCTCCAGGTCCCCTCAGGTTCCATTTGCTTAGAGACTACTGTAACTGGAAGGTAGAAGCAGATATCAGAGGGTTCTCATGCAGAACCTAATTTTAGGCATGCTATAGTGGCATTAACAATGTGCTTGATTGTGCTGGTTGGTGCTGCATGGTAGACGTTCTGGTCTCTTCTATCCCCTCCTCTCGTTTATGCTGTTAAGCACTTTTTTCGTCTGTAGTGGCATATTGTCACCGAGTCACGACAGGTAAGATGGTTATCTTTATTTGACCAAACCGGTGGCCGAGACACACATAACTACAGCAATACACAGTGTATTATAATAGTGGCGAAGAGAGTGTCAGCAGCCGGTAAACTGATCAACAATAGGATGCACCGTTTTTATACATAACGCATTGAACATTCAAGCCTTATCACAGGTGGTCACTCAAGCTCTAGAATAAGCTTGAATCTTCACGTCTTGTGAGCAATCTTAACAAAATGATCTACTAGAATTTTGAAGTTTCTTGAACACTGAGGCATGGTCTGCACTAAGCATGGGTGGCAGTCTTTGCGGACGTTAACTGAATACAGCAAAATTGAAGGATGGCGTACGTGTGGCAATGCCCCACTTTTAAAAAAGCATTACCCCATAGCTTGAAGGGGCCCAAAACCAATATATAAGGTATCCACTTTCTTGAGTGCACCAGAAAGCTTACCAGTCAGAGCCCTCAATCAAGGAACAGTAACGCGGAAAACACCGTAGAACATTTATGATCAGAATTTTTCAATTTACAGTGATTATGCAATCTTAAGGAGACATGCTGCAAACAGTGGATGTGATCACGATAGCAATTATACGCCAGTGTAATGCCAGGAGTGATGAAATATGAAGCTTTAGGTACAAACACGTATAGTAGTTGTGTTTGTTAAGCCTGCAGTGCCACGACCACTGCTATCTAGTGTGCTAAATTATTTTACAAGAGTTAAAGCCCTTTCCCACTTTCGCGAACCTTCTTATGCAAGTACTTTTGGCCATGCACAGATTGTTTTTTCGACTTAAGCTAAGTCGAGCCAAGCCATGCCTTCAAAAAGGAAACGACGCGTTGGCACATGATTGACAATTAACACATAATAGTTGATGTTTGGCCGTAGTTGGATGGCTTGTCATCCTTTGACAACCTGAGCAAGTTAGAGGAATAAATTTTGGCTCGAATGCGAGCACAAAATTAGGACTACTATCAAGTAGCGCAAGAAAGACATGCTTCCACGGACGACAGCGGTAGCAACGAATTGGACGGAGCGTCACCAACAGCACGCACGAAGTCGTAGCACTTGTCCACAGAGCAGTAGGTCGACACATTTCACGTGCCGCAGCGATTGCATTCACAATCTTGCGCGCTTCTTCCAATGTGGCCGACACGACAAGAATCGAGCTACTCTGGAAATGCTGCGCAGCAGCGTGAAAGCACAACTGCACCCGTTTCTATGAAGAGGCCACAAAAGCAGCTTCACTTTTCATGCTCTACTTCTTTTACCTTGTAAGCCACATAGAAGCAAATGAAAATGAACAATAACATACATATTTGAAATCTAAGCCCTTCTTTCAGTGCACTTTAAATAATCACAGCAAAGTTATTAGGACTTCATCTTTGTGGTTCATGGCTCACGTGCTCGGGGCGTGACATGCTGGTTTTGGTTACTTTCCACCGTGATTTAAAAATATAAACCCTACTCGGATCCCGAAAAGTGTGCTGTCACCTGTCACTATATTTCCCATTCTTTTTCTTTCCACCACAATCAAATCACCCGTTCTGGTCAGTTGTGGGTCCCTTCAGAACAGAAGAACAGAAATGTATTCAATAATAAAGAACAACAGTAAAGCAAGTAAAGACTAGAGTTCACAGGTTTTTTTAAAGGAATACTAAAGAGTAAAACGATTTTTCGCGCATCAGAAACGTACAATTTGACAATCCCAAAAACACCATTCTTACCGTGACACGACGCTTAGTAAGTGTGAAAAGGCGTGCAAAGAAAATGCGGGTGTTGAAGCCACCTTGAGATTCCCGCACCAAGCACATACCATGTTATAAGAGATTTTGAAAACATCTACTGGGTCCTACGTAGCTTCCAATCGATAAAAATGATAAACATTGTAATCTGTGGGTGCCATAGACCAAGTACTCGAAGTTTCAGAAAATTTCATTGGGCCAATGCCACGAAAATACCGAAACATCTTGAAGATTCTTGTCACGTGCAAAGATTTTAGCGTGAAATTTAGAAACAAGACTTAAACTTTAATTTGAATTACTAATAATGAACTTAAGATAGTGATACATTTAGCATTAGGGCCCTGAACATGCAGTTTATCAAACTAAACCAGGTCATTGTTCATCTTGAGTGTCCACTAAACCAGGTCATTGTTCATCTTGAGTGTCCGTTTAATGAGCACAGAATGGCTTAATGCATACAACATGCATGCCCTTGAGTCGAGCCTGGCATTGCTGAGAGTTCGTAATGCCATTGGGTACAACCTCATAGTCGAGTCCAACGAGACGTCGAAGTACCCTATACGGTCTAAAGTATTGTTGCAGTTTTCCACTTACCCCCGTATTCACAAACCTAACTTAAACTTATCCTTATGGCTTAAGTCAACCTTAGCCATTAATCTGCCCTTCACACATGTCAGGAACCTGCCTTGTACTTATTGCGGAACTTTCCTCGTACTTAAGTAAGGCTCGGTTAGGGTAGCCTATGACCTACCTAAAGGCATCCTTAAGCAACATGACGGGGGACGACAACTTTGTGTATTTTGTTTATTATGCAGACTGCAAAGAAAAAATATTGAAGGGCACAGCGTACATTTCATCGCCGTGGCGAGTCTTCAATGATTGCTGGAACCTGGTAGAGACCTATGACAAGCAGGAATCTTTATGTCGCCCCAACTTTACAAAACGTGCCGCGAAGAATCTGTTCGCTGTGCTGTTTTTGCAAGAAAATATCCATGGTCATGGGTTCGTTGTGCCCGTTTTCATGTAGCTTCTCATCGCATCGCACTTTTATGGAGTTGGCACGTTTAAACTTGGGAGTGATGGCTTTGTCAATGTGGCCAGATACCTGCTATGATTGCAAAAACACTTTTTCCCGTACCAATTAATCTTCCCGAAGTGGCACACTTTTCTAGTTGTTTAGTTGGCCGTTCACGGATGCACAGTGTGTAGAATGTTGAATTCTATCATGAGCTGCTTTCATGTTTCTCATTTTCTCTGAAGGCACACAGCGTCCGTCTTGGTACTTGTTCACAAAACCCGTCAGGACATAGCCACTTCATCGGTGAAGGACACTTCAGTGCACCGTCCCGAAATAAATGCAGTTTCATAAAAAATGCACTGTAAAACTGCTCAAACTATCAAATAAATCTTGTGAAATTTCAAAAAAGTGAAAGAAAATGGCAAAGGACGGCAAAGGCTGAAGCAAGCACGATAACAACACCGAACACAGCAAAAACATATGAGACGTTGAAATAACACAAGTGACCTGATCAGCCCCCTGCATCGACGGGAGTTGCAGAAAAGTGGCCAGACGAAAAACGTGTATTTCACAAAAACTGCCTGTGCCTTGCTGTTTCTTGCTGTTTATGTTTGGCTGCTTCTGTGCATACTGTTGTTGATTCCTTGTGGTAAAGCTAATTTATTGCTGCTCGAAGTAATGATGCTGTAGCAAAAATTTACTTACCCAAACACCCACAACCTACACTTTACAAGTTAAAGACCCACTTCGGCGATTTTTTTTTTATCATGTCAGAATAATGGTGCTTTTACAAAAGTTCCTTAGACACTCTTGTGACGTGCCCAATAGCTGAAATGCTCACAAAATTTGAAAATAATTCTTAATTAGGGTAAAACCGCAATACCAAAGCCGAAACCTAACTGTGTGTGCTTCTATGTGTATTGTAATCATTTTCCCGATGCTGCCTGTGGCCTGCCTGATTGCGCATAATGCCCGTCAAATGACACTACCTGTCCACACCGTTCGTGACGATCGGCTAAAGCGCTTACGCTGTTATGGTGAATATATGGCGAATTGTGTGTGGCTCACAACGCAGCACCACTTAACAGCTATCGTACGCCCACCAACACGAAAAAGGAAACCGCACGCTAAACCAAGCAAGTGCCAGTCAAACCCACACAATTCAGAGCAGAAAAGCAGATGCTGCAGTGGCACATTAGTTTCGCCGCTTTCGCCAGGCAAAACTCAAATTCACACACATAATGTTGCCATTAATTCGGGCAAACGAGGCGAGCATTTTCAGGCAAGCCATAAAATTCATTTGAAAAAAATCTGCGAAACTCTCAAGCCTGCAATTTGGCATGAATGGCACACACGTGCAAATGAACGTACTCAGTGAATTTCATTGAGATCCACTGACCTCGAAAAATCACTGTAGCTGGCCTTTAAGGATTGATTAATATGTAGGGTTTATCATCCCAAAACCATCATATTATTATGAGAGAGGCCATAGTGAAAGGCTCCAAAAATTTTAACCACCTGGGGTTCTTTAGCATACACCCAAATCTGTCCTTCCTCTTTCAATCCTCCTCCTCCTTCCAAATCTGAG